CATGCTGGCTGGGGAATTCTGGGAGTTGCAGGCCACACCTCTTAAAGTTGCTAAGGTTGAGCAACCCCGCTATACTTTGTCTCCACAATAGAATGTAAACTTTGAACTTTGCACAGATATTTGCTACTGAAGTGAGAACAACAGCCAGCTCTTTGGCATGATAAAGATGTTTGCACACGCTGGTCAGAACCGCACCCTTGATGTGATACTGTTGCAGAACGATCAGACGATGCGTCCTGACTTCTTCAGGCTTCATGTGTGGAGAGGGAAGGGAAAGAATTTCCTTCCAATGAACTTCCCGCCTAAATCTGGTGCACTGTACAAGAGGTGGATACAAGGATAACATGCAGCTACAATAAATTTGGACTCTGCCCTTACAGCCTTGCTTTAGAAGGCAAGCTGTATTCATTCAGCCGTAAGCTCACACCTCATTTTTACTCTTTTTAAAGGCTGCATCACCTTCCTGGGAGATAAGAATAAACAACAAGCAAAATTATTGGCCAGATCTGACAAAAGAAAAGGAGGAAAAACACTGAGGATATGAAGCATTATCAGGTAGGCTACCCCAACAGATAAATACGAATCCTGATTGCTAGCTTGCAACCCATTTGAGGGGAAAAGGTTGGACCCCTGAGCTCATCTCCTTTCTAGGCCGGTGCAAAATGGCCACCATCAATCTTGGCTTTTCTTCCTTTTTTAGTATCAGAGATAATGTGCAGTGAAGCCCTTTTTTATATAGATACATATCATTTTTATTGAGAATGTTTACATAAGGAAAAGATAAATGTAAAGAAAAAGATGAAAAAAGAAAGGGAGAAAAATTAAAGGGAAAAAGTAAAACACAGAAAGGAAGGAGGATAGTTAAAGAAACAAGAATCAGAAAAAATAATCCGACCTTCTTTTCAAACAGTTATAAACAAACTTATTACCCCTCTTCCCTCTCGGTATTACAAAAATCCCTTCAGCGCCTTATCTGATCCTTTTTCAATCATCAAATCCATAAATCATTGGTTTGCTTTTTTTTCCATTTTCAGCAAAAAGTCCATGAAAGGTTTCCAGTGTTTAATTGAAATACCTATTGTTTTGTCCCTGACCAAACAGGTCACTTTTGTCATTTCTGCCCATTCTGACATCTTTGCAATCCATTCCTCCATTATGGGAGTTTCAGTATTCCTCCATCACTGTGCATATAATAATATTACTTCAGTTACCACATATAAAATCAATCTTCCATAAATCTTTTCTAATTGGTTATCCATAAATCCCAATAGAAAGAGTTCTGGCTTTTTCTCAATATTGATCTTTGAAATCCTTTGTATCACTGTATGTATTTGTATCCAAAGTTTTCTGAGTTTTTCATAAGTCCACCATATAAAATGTCCCTTCATGTTTTTCACATTTCCAACATTGGCTTGAAGTACCTTTGCACATCTTTGATCATTTCTCTAGGGTCATATACCAACGGTACATCATTTTATAAAAGTTCTCTCTTACATTGTAACACCATGTGAATTTCATCCCATTTACCCCCTTCTTTCCCATTTATCCACCTGTGTTTTATAACCAAAATTCATAGCCTGTTTTATCATGCAGTCCTTAACTTGTTCCTCTTCTGTTTCAAATCTCAATAAAAGTTTATACATTTTTGCAGTCACATGTTCATCATTTGTACATTGTTCATTTTCAAATTCCGTCTTACATTGCTCAATTCCAGTTACTTTTTTATCTATATTAAATCTTTCTCTTAATTGTGCATATGAAAACCATTGAAAACTCGACATTCTGCCATGAAGTGGGGCTGGATTGCTTGGACCGGCTGCTTCACTTCAAGGCAAGCGGCTTCTACAGAAGACCAGTGAAAGGTTAGAGAAATGTCCAAAATGGTGCAGCTGCCTGGTTCAGTCAATGGAAATGGTTGGTTTGTTAAATAAATGCATATTACAGAAAATGTTGTAGCAATCATCGTGCCTATGGCTCTGAGGTTTGGCTGCACAGTTATTGCTCCTCTTTCTGTTGACGTTGTCACATATTAGGATTTTTTATGTGTGATAATGCCAGCTAAGCAACACCATAGCTTAATCCATGTGCATTTGTTCATGGCTGAGAGGAGATTTTAACTTGACTGATAAGGATTTTTTTTAAATCTATATGTTCTATAAAACTAAACTTGCCTCCATTAAAAGATGCTGGTAGAACATGTGATAAACCCTAGGAACCAAAACGTTATTATCCATAAGAAGATCAGGGCTAAATTCAGCCTCTGGAACAAGGACTGCCAGTCGGCCTCTCTAAATCTTATGAGTGGTCCCCGAACCCCTCTGCAGGTTGACATTGAATTCTAATTGTTAATATGATGGAAGGGGAGAATTAGTAAATGCACAAAGATGGATTGTTTTAACTGCATTGTTTCCTACGGTGGATCTGCTCATTTTCCACCTCCTGGACTCAATGAAGCCCCGTCCGCTCTGAGAATCAGAGTAGCCTCTTATCATGATGTTTTTCTTTTTCAACTTTTAAAAATTTGACGAAATACCTAAGTTGCCCTTCCATAGCTACCCACTCTGAGTTTTCTGAGAAGTCACAAAAGGAATGCAACCAGCATGAAATGAAAAGATGAACGGGAGCAGGAGATTGATTAAATGCAGTTTTTTATGTTCTCTGATTGGCTAGTGTGGATCTCAGCGTTTTGAGGATCAGCAGCCACAAAGACGATTAAAGGTCAGCTTGAACTCGCTTTTCAGAAAGTGAAGGACGGAAACAGGGGTGGTGTGGAATTGCCCCTAAAAGCTTCATTTTACCAGATTGTTTTGAAGCCCTTGCATGATTTCAGTTAGCCAGCGGTGGGAGCCGTCACTGGCCTAATTTTAATAAAGAATGTGGAACTAAAGACTTAGGGTTTTTTTTTTTTTTGAAAAAAAGCACCCACTCACCACCTTGCTGTTATATTAAAGAAAGTGCTTAAATGTGCTGAGTTGGTAATTCTCACTAATCTCTGTGAGAAATGCTTATAAATACAAGAAGTTAATGAATCTCTGGCGAACATGAATATGGAAAGTCACCAATTAGGTAACATATATAAAGATGAGAGAGAAATGGAAATGACTTAAGTTGATTTATCAAGATTCCCTAGAAAAGGTGGGGAGCATCAAGTGCAAGTACGATGCTTAGATGGTACAAAGGAGTTAAAAGTTTTACAAAACTGTATCATCTTGGGGAGAGTGATTTCTCAGAACAGATCGCAAGAATTCATTTTGAAGGAAATCCATGACGTAGCTCTAGTGTTCTCGAACACTACATTCTCCAATCTGGAGAGCCGTCTATAGTCTCAGTTGTATATAGAGCACAGTTACTTATTTGGTGTATATCCCATGTTTCTATTCAGAAGGTACCAAAGCAGGTATTTGTAACTGAATTGTTTTAGAGGAAAATTCTCTGCATATACTCGGCAGGTTTAATTTTGTTGCCAAAATTGTATGAGTCCTGAGTTAAAATTATATATATACATAAAAAAAAAATTCCCCTCAATCGTATTCCAGCCATGAAAGCCTTCGACAATACATCGATTAACTTTGTTCCCCTCCACGCTCATATTTTTGACAATCCCTTGTTGCCTCTGGCTACAGAGGGAAGGAAACAAACTTGCCCTGTTTGGAGCCATGAGGAAGGAAGAACAATGGGTATGGTGGTCACTTGGTAGAATATGGCGTCCCTTACATTGTAAAACCGACACATAGTAGTCAGTGGAGGCAGGATTACTGCTGGAGACCCTTTGAACAGTCAGGGCAAACTCAGCAAATGCCTTTCCTATTAAGAAAACTGTCTTCTCCACGTGTCTGCCTATCACTGCCATCCTCGTCTGCCTGAGCTAGGACTGGCTATGGAGGAAATAGAAAAAAGTAGACTGCCGTTTTTGGAATAGAAGATGGAGAAAGAAAGCCCCAAGGAGATGCAGTTTGGGGATTCTGGAAGAAGCTAATAGCAATGCCATGTCCTTCTCTGGTGATTTAATGTAAAAGTGGAATCTTTTCCACTAAGATTAAGTTGTATATTTCTAAATAAGCCTCTATTTTATAAAATACTCTGATTCCTCACTGCACTCCTTCCAAGGAAACCAAACTTAGATGATGCATTACATATCTGGAACTTCTCATAGCTCCACATTTTTAACAAATTTTATCT